CTGCAGACAGTGCAACGCGCTTTGCGTTCTCAGTCCATACGCGCTGGCGTATGGAGCTTGGCTGAAGGGATTCAGGGCTTAGTGCATTGCAGTACCTGCTCAAAAAAAGGTTTATCGCAGGCGTATCGGTCAAGGTTAGGTGTTTCGTCTTGTTCAGAGTTTATGGTTTGGGAATTTAAGGCGTAGGGTCGGGGATTTCGGTGTTTATATAAGATTTGAAGTTTATATAGGGTTGACGATTTGTATAAGGTTTATAGAGATCGTTTAGGAAGTGGTCTTGTTTGTGGAAGCTTGAGGGCTCTTGGAGAGGATCCGGGGGTTGTGGGTTGAGGGCTTTCTGTTTCGGAACCCGTGTGCTTAATACGCACGCAGCAACTGCAGAAAGGTGGAATATCTGAATTGGTGACCTGGTTGAGGCAAGCTTTCAGAAATCGTAGAATCTTGGGAACATGCCTCTTGGGGTATCAAAGACGAATACGTGCTTGAATACAGCCTGTGGTGTTTCGATGGCGTGCCAAGACATGCATGCCTCGAGCGCTTGGGTTGAATTACAGAGAAAGCACAACATAGCAAGCTAACATAGGCTAATTGGCTAATTCTGAAATTTTTTTCAAACTCAGACCTGTGTAATAATTTGTTTGCACAGCGCATGTTTCGAGACAGCAAGTATGCATCGCTTATCATCTGTTTTGGAACACTTGACTCAGGCTGTGGAAGCAGGTCTGCTCAACTGGAGTGCGCCCGTCTGGTAAGGGAACACCCCGGAAGAAGCGCGAATCTCGGATGCATGCAGCAGCGGCAGCAGCAGCAGCAGGAGGAGGAGGAGGAGGGGCAGGAACAGGAATAGGAGAAGGAACAGGAGTAGGAGTAGAGTAGTAGTAGTAGTAGTAGTAGTAGTAGTAGTAGTAGTAGTAGCAGCAGCAGCAGCAGCAGTGGCAGCATTACTTCAGAGTTTACGACACCGCAACCTCGAACCCCATGAACCTCCAGTGTCATAAACCTTCAAAAAGGGCTGAGATCCTGGTGGACCCGATCCCTTGGCCTGGAACACTATGAAACCCTAAACCCTGACCCAGAAAGGGTTCAGTGCTTGCTTTTTGCCATAGTTTGGGAATCCCAGGAGTGGCAGGACAAGCTCAAGTACTTCATCGCCCACCGCTATGAAAGCTTTTGCCTGGAAGAAGGTACCGGGTTTTGGATTTCGGGCAAAGGGCTTAGGGCTTAAGGGGATTCAGGGATCTTGTTGGCAGCACTTTGTCAGCTGTCGGAAGTAGCCAGGGACTTGAATGGTGGACTCGAAGTCAGGAGTTGAAAGGATTCGGCTCGGTTAACATTCGTCCACACGGCTGCCTAAATAGATCAAAAATAGACAGGAACAACGAAGGTCATATCAGTCAGGTCTCAGATTGACTTGCCTCCTTTCACTCGGAAGACTTCCAAAACCTCAAACTCCGAAATCCGCAAGCCCCTGATCTGCTCATACCCTAAAACACTCAAGCTGCTAAACCCCAGCGCAAAATCCGAAGCCCGCCCCTTCATTGCGAACACACGCCTAGAGCCGATCTTTTCGAACACTATCCGACACTATCCTAAGCCCCTGTAGCCCCTGGGCCCTGAACCCTAGAACCCCTCCACCCCGCAACACCGAAGCCCCCCCTCCAACAAAAAAAAAAACAGAAAGATAGTCTAGTCCTATACACGCGGTCCTGCCGGCTTCACCTGCTCTTGTCTATCATACATAGTCTCCGTGAAATCATAAACATGCCCTCTCGACCGCACATACTCCTGAGGTGTTCCCGCCCCTCAGCCGTTAATGATGATAATGCAAACTGCTTATGATATTGATATGACTGATAGTATTCTTCAGATTATAAATTGCTGCTGCAGCAGCAGGAGCAGGCGGAGGAGGAGTACTACTAGTTTCATACACTGAAGCAGTCCAGACATTAGTGGCAGAAGTCTTCAACATTAGGGGTTATAGGGGTTAGGGTTTATCCTGCGCCGGACGATTTCTGTTTGGATTGCTGGTCTGCTTTTGTTATTGTAGTGCATGGGTTTTGTCTTTACGGGCTGTCAAGCGATCTTCTTTAGTTTCGCCTAGCCGACTATGGCCGCATGACCCGCCTGGATTGTGCCAGTTGTGAGCTCCGAACCCCTAAGCCCTAAACTCCCCTTGAACCCTTAGACAGAAGGAGCCGGCTCTCAAACCTGGGTGAGGCTACGCCGACCGGAGGAGCTGACATTTCGAACATTGCTGAAGGTGTTGGGTTTGGCAGGGGGGTTAGAGGCTCTTTACAGTTTGTTGCACAGGAGGTTTTAGACTTGTGTCCATAGGGTTGAGAGCTCCAAAGCAACAGCCAAAAGCCACAACTGGGATCCAAGTTGATCCTTCTTTCTGTTGGGCAGCTCTCCGTGTTCTTGTGAGTTATTCCGGTGTGGACTATGTGTGTGGGTAGTGTGACTACGTCTGTGGGCGCTCATAGCAGTCGTCCTCCGGCCAGATAGGCCTCTGATAGCTCGAGAATTGAAGGTTTGTCCCACTGGTGCGACCTGCGGCAGATGCTCTTGCGCATAGCCTTGTTCATAGCTGCCTGCATTCCTCCAACGTCTGTTTTCCAAGGGCACGGGCTAAAAGTGGTTCAATACTAACAGTAATATATATATATATATATATATATATGGACAGCAACCCGACATCAGGCAGCCGAGCATTTCTGACTTCGTAGTCATCCGTGGGCGGACCTCGTCTGCCTGCAGGTCGAGCACCTGGCCGTGCCCGGCTTCTGAAGTCGGCCCCCTTGATCAGCCCTTACTTTGCATCCGGAACCGTGCTGGCAAAGTCTGCTACAACCTCGGCGAGGAAGACCCAGTCCTCGTGCTTTCAAACCGCAGGAACTGCGCTCTCTGGCGAGGAGCTGGCACTGCATGGCGACGACTGGCCACCCCAGATCACGATGATAAGAATCTCTCACACACACAGTTTTTCTTGTCGTGCTCTTAAAGCCGCCTCGTCGGGAAGAGCAGCTGGCCCAAGCTGCCATGCGACAGCGGCAATGTCGGGAGCACGGCCCGCGCAAGCCCCATGCCCGACAAGTTGCGGTGGCGCCGCTTGCGCGCAACTCGGGCAACGCTGCATCGTGCGGCCCTGTGCACCTGCAGCTCACGTCGTGGGGGCCAAAGCCTCGGCCGAGAGCTGCGAAAATAATATAGAGCTCGGCGTGGAAATCGAGGAATATACGGAAAGAACGTATGTGGAGCAAGGTCGGAAGCGTAACACACCCGACATCAAAACTGGGACTCCACCCAGAATCCGTGACTAAATCCCAGAAGCCGGAGGAACGAGAATGGAGTAAATGCATGTCTGTTTTTGCCAGAGATACTACAGAGGAGCGACCTGACCTCGTGATGATAAGATGCTGGGCTCACGGCCCCACTTACGACATTGGTTCGTAATATTCAATAATCATGATTATCGAAGTATCAACAATAAGGATAGTCACAAGTAAGAACGATTATGTATAGTGATTGCTATCGCCGTATATTCCTTAATTAAGGTGTATTGGGTTCTCTGGGTAGGGCGTGCAGCAGGCTTGGAGGGCTCAGGTTCGGGATTATTCGGTTGTTGAGCGGCACTTGCAGGACACGGCGGCGCGCGATGAAGACTTCGGCAAGCTGCAGCTTGCGATAAAACGGACCGGTCTTGGGGACGTGCTGTAGCCTCGATTTCGGGTGAAAGTTGCAGTTCTGAGACACGCCGGCCCAGCTGCTTCCCGAAGGGGAGACTGCTTCATCAATCAAGCTCTCTAGCAATACAGAAATAATGTGACGATATCGGGCTTGAACTAGAACCCATGCGGAGGACGATGCTGAAGCTCCTCCAGAGTGGTAAGGTGAGTCGGGACGATCGAGGCCTAGTGCGGGTATTCTTGGTAAGTGCTTCGCTCGAATCTGTCGCCAGGTTGAATAAACACCCCACCCTTGCAAGTTTTCGGGTTTTGGAGTTTGTAACTCAACATTAACACTCATGACATTTTGTGCAGATAGTTTCTGCATATCAGGGGGGCGCACGTCAAAAGAAGGCAAGCCGTCGAAGTAGACAGGGGAAGTTACTCGAGTCTTTGCGAGCTCGTTTTGGCAGTCTTCAGTTCAACCTATACTATAGTCTCCATTGTAGTTCCTTTTTGGGGATACCTGATAAAATCCTTAATATAGATTTGGTTAAACCAAACAAAGGAACTACAATGGAGACTTTAGGAAGACTTCGGAGCTCCCTTGGGAGATGCACTGCTTTTCGTTGCAACTGCGAGTTGTTTGGCGAACTTCGCCAGTTTTTCCGTGCTTTCTGATGGAGGTGGCGAGGGCTATGTGCTGGTGGAGGCAGGCAGTGCAATTCAGCTCTTCTAGAGTCTTGCAGGGTGCTGCGGTGCTCCTTCTGGAATGTCACAACGTGTTTAGAGAGTCCCATGTAGGGGCCTTAGTGATGAGAGTAAGGCTTTCGCGCATATCTTAATATACTTATTATATAGGTCAGCTGTATAGCTGTGTGTAAAGCTGCGCTCAGCCTCTTCGGGCACGGGGCAACGGAGCTATGCGAATGCAATCGGTCACGACCTCCTTGAACAGGACGTGGCCTGCACGCCCCGCGTCTATCAGCTCTGGCACCGCTGCCGCAGCGACTCCTCTGACCGGCTGGCCTTCTACCTGCGCCACACTGAGGTCGGGGGCTTCCGGGGGTCTTCGGGGTACCTATATATAGTCTCTATTGTAGTTCCTTTTTTTGGTTTAACCAAATACATATTAAGGATTTTATAAGGTATCCCCAAAAGGAACTACAATGGACACTATAGGTAGTTGCAGTGATCTAAGAAGACGCAGGTTCAATGCTTCAGAGCAAGCAGGCGGCAGGGTTTGCACGACCGGGCACCCCCAAGCCGGCCTACTGTCTGCAATGCGGCATTCAGGCAGCAACAAACCATGAAGATCGAAAACCCATCACCCCGATGCGAAAAGCACTAAGAGCTGAACCTCTCGAGATTCAGAGTGTGGGCAGCCACGCTCCCTTCAGGAAAGGTAGACTGGTAGACCCTTTACCCATAGGCCCTAAAGTAGTTCCTTTGTAGGGAATCCCCAAAAGGAACTACTTTAGGGCCTATGGGTAAGCTTTCTAAACCACCTGTCGCCCTGCTTCGAGGCTTTCGAGGTCTGGACGCCTGGCTGGTCTTCCATGGAGTCAGAGATCCAGGCCTCTTCATCATGCTTGGGGCTTTAGGGTCTGAAGTTGTGTTTTCCGCATTCAATCAGGGTTCAAGTTGGTTTGAGTGTTTCGGGTTTCTTGGTAGAAAGGGAGTGCTTGAGAGTGGTGCCAAAGTGCTAAAAGTGCCTACATCACTATCATTCGATCATCCGGTATGCATATTATACCCCGCGTCAGCACTCGCAACAAGGTTGATGTGGTGGTAAGCAGAACACACGACTCCGAAAAAGCATGCAGTGCGCTGGACGCCCTCCAGCACTACACAAGTAAAACACCCCCTCACATTCCGTTACTTGCTTCAGAATTCTATCTTTCATGTCTGGTTTGTTTTCATTGGTTTATGAACATTTTCTTTCGTTGCAGTCGTGCAATTTCGCTATGCCCTCATCGGCACACATGCCCAGGAGGCAGCGAACTTGCGAAGCGCTGTTCGGATACGTCTGCAGACGGCGGCAGAAAGAGCGACCACGCTGGAGGATGTGCTGTGAACCCTAAGGGTCCATGTACCCAAATAGTATATACCTTGGCCTTAATGTAGTCCCTACAAAGGTACTTTAGGGCCAATGTATGTACTACTTGGGCACATGGACCCTTAGGGGAACTGCTATACCTACAAAATACCGTGATCTAGATCTACATTGACGTAGTGCGGCATCATTTCCTAAAAACACGAATATGTGAGTTATCAGGGCTTTGGGTGTGAATCGAAGGGGCGGTGCGACGCTCTAGGGGCTATGACTAGGAGAGGACCTTGTGAGAAGTACCTGTGCTGCCTGATGCAGCGACTTTTCCTTGGTTAACAACTTCAGGATTAGGTCTACGGTTGAGGGTCTGTAAAATTAGTACAGTCGAGTTTGGCGCTAGGGTTAGTTGCATTCAAGACTTGACGGGAAATCGCAAAGCTACGGAAGGGTTAGGCCTATAGGCTTTACTTGAGCTTTGCCAGTTTCAGCAAAGGCGTAGATGCTATCCCACCGTAAGGGTCAAGCGGCGACATTGACCCTGAAGCTTGCAACGGAGGAGACAGCTACGGAGGGAGAGGATGCCACAGAACCCCAAACCCTGGAAAGAAAAACCGAGAGCCGTCTTTGACAGATGTATGTATGCATGCATGTATGTATGTATGTATGTATGTATGTATAATGTAGTATACTGTCATGCATTGCGATGCAATGTAATGTAGTGTAACGTAACGAAATGTAGGTATGAATGGGTGTTCGTGCGAGCCTTTTTATATACATGTCGAGTATGTATATATTTTGTGTTGTTTGATGTTGGCTTTGCTTATATTGGGATTTTGCACGCATACGTTCCGGCTTTATGTGCCGTGTGGCTTCACATGCTTCTTGGCGCAAGGAGCGCTGGGCAAGGCGGCCTTGCTGACAGCGTGAATACCCCACGCCGTAAACCCGAATTTGCGAGCCGAAGGCCCTCGAAATCCGAAGCCCAACCCCAAAGATCTCAAAGTCACAACTTCAGACTGAAGATTTGCTTCTGTTTCTCGCAATCGACCTTCGATTACTGAACCTACTCCCGAATCCCGAACGAAGTTCTCCGTGCACTTACGGAGTAAGCACCTAGGCCGCCGACTGCGGGGCAGCCACCCTTGGCTCCCGAGGGACGCTGCAGGGGCCTGAATGTGGGGGTTTCCGAAAATGGGGGGGTGCCTTATTTTGGGGTCCTTGTAATAGGGATCCTCCTATTGGGGGTACTATATTAGGGTCCCCTATTTTGGGGAACCCCCATGTTGAGCGCAAAGCTATCACTGTTCGGTATTGCCATGCTGACTTCTTCTACTTAATTCAGCTTAACTGTATTCAACACCGGGTGAGCCCTGTTCCTCTCAAATATGATTATGAACATGTTGGCTTAGCACTGCTTCTTGTTAGCATACCGCGCGCTATTTCCAGCAACATGATCACTGCTGCGAGTCATGAGTCTTTGCACAGAGGCTTCGGAGTTTTTAGGCTTCAGGTGTGGATGTGAGCATCTCCTCCAAGCGACATCCTCAGCAGATGCTTTTGTGAAAAACAGCGTACGATGAAGTAAGCAGCCATATAAGAATCAATACAGTATTGCAAGAAGACGCTGCGCATTTCGCAACCCCTTCTCAATGTGGTCTGTGCGTGGGCCCAAGGCATGTTCATGTAAAGGCTGTAGTTTCCGATGGACCATTCCTGTGGCGCGTGCGCGGCTCAAGCTGCCGAGACTCAAAGGAAGTCCTGGTGCTTTTTCACCCACTGTCCCCTGCCCAATCCTGCCCTGGCCCGGAATCTGAAGCCCAAGCCCTTTTAACAAAAAGAACCCCACTCCCGATACACCTTTAAACCCGAAGCCCCGAAATCCTACACCCTAAAACCGCAGTCGAAGCCAGGAAATGTTGAACCCTAATCCTCGCCTGGCATGTCCGAGTTGTGAGAGCATAATCCGGAGCTTAATCCGGAAAACCGTAAGACCCCAAATATCATTCAACTCCACCGGAGATTCATGAAGCTGAGGGCAGGACCAAATGTTGCCGTCGCCATGTCCATAAGGTAGGGGGCCTTGTTTCGATTCATGTCTCCTTATAGTTACATGTAGCCCTTGTATATTCCGACAGTCGTAGACCACAGAGGAGAATTATGATTAGTAAAGCGCTGGCAGTACCGACCCCTTATCGTCCCATGTACAAGTATTCACTAGTCACTTGACCCCCCAACAGAAAAACAACTTGCGGCTTTGGCCCTACGTGCATACTAAGTTGACGTGCGCAATGTGGGGGCCGAAGTACATACTAATACTATTGCCTCGGGTTCCTGTACAAAAGTAGTATAAATATTCCCGAAACCCTGTTCCCATTGAGAAAGACCCCGCAATTTTCCGAAGCGGCGGATAGCACTGTGCTATTCTTGTCTGCAAACCTGCCGCCACATGGGCGGATGGAGATCGATACTCCACGAGCAGCTTGGTTTAAGGTTTATGGGTCTGTGGCTGTGAGATGGCATGCTGTTCTGTGTTTCCTGGTGAGTCGGTGCAAGCTCATGTACTCGATTGCGGGTAGCTTTCATACCCCTAAGCCCGAAAGCCATCTCCTCACAATCCGAATTACGCCACATGCTGAATCAAAAAGCCCCAGCGCCCCCCAAATTGTCCCCACAATTCGTTGGGATTGTATTCCTGAAGCTATTCCTGAGGTACGCCCGACCCCCTCCAGGACGAACAGTTTCCGAAAGCCACGTGTAGGAAGGCTTGCGAGAATCATTTAAAATTCCGTGTCCATAAGTGGGTTCGGGCCTAGTTCACGGTTCATGCTTTTGCACGCCTTGCTGGAAGGATGAGAGGACCAGCGGTAAAGATTACACGAGTGGTCACCAGTGGCTCTGAAGTCGAAGCCGTGCCGAAAGTGACCGAAAATTACGTGCATGAATGACACCTAGGCAAGTCTACAAGCTCAAAACAACGACTTCAAGCTGCATCACTGCCCAACGGTAGCCCTTTCTGTATCCCTGCCAGAAACACCAAACAGGACCCCTTGCTGGAGACGTCAACTCGAGAGGGCGCCCTTGCTTTCCTGGAGCTTCTGGCGCTGTTGGCGGCTGCTCCCGATGACGGTCAGGCTCCGGTGGGATCTGCTGTGTTTACTACGTATCCAGTATGGTTTGTAGACCGTGTTCTTAGTGTTATGTGGTAACCCTTGTGATTATTCGTTCTGTGTTGATATGGTTAAGGTTATCCTCATTACAGCCACTGTGGTTGTCCTTATGATTCGCACCACACTGTTATCATTTGCAACCCTAAACCCTAAACCGTGGTATAGCACTGTCTGGCTATAGCTGCTGCGACCACTGTCTACGTTTCGCTTCTTATGACACTTGTTTGCTCCCAGCCAAGCTGATAGCCGTACGTGGCCATAGCGGCTTAGCGTAATTGCAGTGGCCGGTGCTTTTTTGCGTTGTGAGCGTTGCGAGTTACTGTTGTCAGCTTGGGGCCTATGTTTTGGCCCATGGTGTCTATATAGGGGTTCAGGAGTTGGGTTTGAGGGTGGAGTTTGGCTATATAGGGGAGTCAGGAAATCAATAGATTAAAGAGAGATCATTCAGGTCCGCATGCTCCGCGCCTTAGCCCAGAAATGCTCAACCTGGTTACCTACCCAGCCCCTAAGCACAACGGCGACTGGGACTTTCTTACATCTTGGTGATCTTTTGGAATCTTCGTTCCCCCTGCTTTACATTTACCGTATAAACCCATGGGGAGACTAAACGCAACATTTCAGCTACAGGTCAAGGGGGCTTTCGCCTCACCCAGCCCTTCGTTTCCGTGGTCGCATTTTCCAATTTCGGATGTCCTGGGAGTTGAACCCCGCAGATCCGTGCCGATTGCGGAAATTCGCCTTTCTGGTCATGCAGGAAAACTTGCGAACGGAGATCAAGGCAGTTCAACACTTCGGTACATCGATATGATGCAATGCAGAAACGTTTGCGCCAAGAGTTTCTTCTGTTCCCTTCCTCCAACCTCTCAGATCTTAAACCCTAAACAGCAAATGCCTGTCTTGTCCGAGTTGTGAGAGTGTAAACGGTAAACAGTAAACCCTGAGTGCCAAAAAAATCCAAGCTCCGATCACCACGGTGTTGTTCGGAGGAGGGCGGTGGCCAAGCTGCCGCGACATCCCCATTCTTCATCCAAGAAGCTTCGGACAATCAAGGTGTCTGGACACGGGTTACTGTGCGCACTTTAAAGTGGTATCGGAGTGGGACTAGCTGATGGACAACGGGAAGGAGGCGAGAGAGATGGAGGGATGGATGAACACACAGGTGCATGCATCAGCGGGTATGCAGATCGACAGACAAAGCTAGGTCAGCAAACCTTCGAGAACATAAGATGCATATGCACGTACCGAGCGCACCTGTATGTTCAGGTTTTATGTGCGCATACAATAGAAGCTGTCGTTTACATGGATGTGTGCAACATTGCTATGCGCTAATAAGGACGGCGGCATACTGACAGCAATAATGCGGAAGTGCAGACAGCAACGGAACATAAGTGACGAGTTGACGAGTGTGGGGTTTGAACCTACACTTGGGGTTCAAGGTGCGGCGTGGTCCTGATACAGCGTAGAAACCAAGTACTTGTTAGTGTCAGGTCGCCGGGTCAAGTCCCTATGAGAGCTTATAACTTCATCTTCAACATGAACGTGTCCACCACTTCTCTAGCATCCTCATCCTCATCATCATCATCATCATCACCATCATTCGTCATGTCCTGCGTTTCTCTTGAAGAGGGTGTTCCGTGTTTAATGGAGGAACAAAAACTTGCAATTTCCAAAGGGCCCTCCGAGACCCGGCTTGACAAGGGCAGCGAGAAGAAACAAACAATGACAACAGCAGTAAGACCCACCTTGGTAACTACCCATAGGCCCCCTAGTAGTTCCTTTTTGGGATTACCTTATGGGGTTCTATATATGAGCCCCAAACAGGAACTACTTTAGGGCCTGTGGTTACAGCAAAGCTTCAGACAGAACTGGCCAGGCGGGGGGCAAAAATCATGCAGTATTCTAATTTTCTATAGACACCCAGAACACCATAGAACCCTGCAGGACCATGGGAGCGGAACAACCTTGTTTTTTGGGGTGTTCTTTGGACCTTTTTGGCCCTTTTTCTCAATTCTAAAGCTGAGGCTTCCGAGCTCCGGAGGACGTTCTTCTGCCTTGGAGGAGCCCTGTCAGGGCTTTTTGGGCCCAAGAAGATGTTGGGGTGAAGGATTGGGGCTCGGCTTTGGGCTTTGGGTTCAAGGTACCTTATGTTTCTACAAGTAGGAGTGTGTGTTGGCTCATATATGGCCTAAGGTCTTGTTTTCAGAAACATACGACATTCCACGTTCGTGGGGAAGGTAAACATCAATCGCAGGTCCGGTAGAATAGTTTTAGATTGCATCTTAGATTGATTTGGTGAGAGATAGACAGAAAGACACGGAGACAGGCAGAACGACAAATACATAGATACATACCCATAGGCTAAACTAGTTCCTTTTTGGGGTTCAATTTAGAATCCTATTAGGAAATCCCAAAAAAGAACTACTTTAGGGCCTATGGGTAGACTTAGCGTGACTAAAGCCTACAAGGGCCAGGCGGAGATGGTTTTCTGGCGGACGTGTCAGGTTGCAGGGCAGGTTTCCAGGTCACCGGCTATCTTCCCAAACCAAGCGGTTTTTAGGTTTTGGGAACTAGGCTCTCAGAGAAACGGTTGAGGGCTCTCAGAAAAACGGGTGAGGGCTGAAGAACTCTGACCTTATTATGGGTACCGTCCCCCTGGAACTCTTGTTGGGCGCTTGGCTCATCTTCCTGCAAAAGCCTGGGATTTCCTGCACAGGGCCCAAAGATAAAGCAGGTCATCCGAAGAAGCTGCTACAAGTCATGGTCTTAGGAAACCTAAACCCCAAACCCCCAGGCTGCAAAGGAACAAAGAGAAGCCAAACCAAGCCACGAGACTCCTCCTTTTAGGATCCGTCGCTGACCCGGGAGCTGCCCTTGCGTTGGCAGGCATGGGAGGGAGGTTTGCTTGCGCTCTATGAGATTCGGGTTGTGATTGTGGGCTTATACCTTAAGAACCCCAAACCCACTTTTTTGTAGGTTCTTTCTATAAACCCCAATATGGGATCTATAGCGACCCTACAAAAAAGTAGGTTGGTTCTTAAGGTCGTGTTTAGGGCTTAAGGTTTACGGTTTGTTGGTTTGGGGTGCATGCGGTTCTGGTGTCGGGACTGGGGATTGGGGTTATGGAGTTCGGTTTGGGGCTGAGCCTTCCGGGCGGTGGAGTTGCTATTATAGGCATGATCAAGCTGTGATCGGTGATTGGCTTCTGGTAGCGCTACTCATGGTATTTGTTTTGCTACTTTTCCCCGGTCCCTGCGACTGTTGCATCTTCTGTTTGATCGATCTCGGAGAAAGAATCCCGACCCACCAACAACATCACCACAAAACCTGCTTGCGGCTCAGTTTAGAGTACCGCACCTGCAGGCTACAGGGCTTTGAGTTCAGGCGAGTTTCCGGTAGAGGCCTTCGGTGTGGAGATGTGGCATTAGTTGCTTGCCAAGTTCTTGGGGTCCTGGCCATTGGATGTTGGAAGGTAGTGTGCCAAGAGTGTGAGGACTTCCGTCTCTGATGGTTTGGTCCCCATCGCAGTAACGGAGTTATGAAGCCAGATGCCGTGGCTTTACTTGCGACCCATACCAAAACTGAATAGGAGGAAGTGTGCCTTTTCCTGAAGGTCTAGCTGGGCTGGCGTGTCCAATCGCACGGACAGTTTCCATGCGTCTTGATCGCTGTTTCGGTTACAATGGTTGCGGTGAGCTTCAATACTTCCTGCTTGAGTCTGCATAGTCTGCGAGGCGTTGACGACGATGTAGACAAGTTCATGTTGGAACAGATCCGGGAGCTGCTTGATGAAGCCGAGTGGGAGGAGCCTCCCTGATGTCCAAACCGCTCCCTTCGGAATTCCATATTATATATATATATATATATATATTAATGTATGTATATATAATATATATATATATATTACCCTTTTCCTATGCCCTAGCCTACACCTCGTGGAGAGGATGCCTATGAGAAGTGCTCTACCGGCCTACTCTTCTTTGGCGAGCTTCTCGGTGCTCGAGGGAAGGATGCAGGGGACAGGATTTAGGGCCATTTAGTGTTTTTTTGGTTTGGCTTCCTGGGCTTTGGGCTCTGGCGAACTCGAACGACAAGGTACAAGCCCAACAGCAAGGGATGCAGGGTCATGACAGGGAGAAACTCGTTCGCTTCCTTGCGCTCTTTGCTGGTTCATCTACGCCATCGCGATACTTCGTTTTGCCATGTCGGTTGCTATCAAACGTGTGCACGGATCCGATGCCCCACACATGAGATGAATTTCATATACTCGCCCACTCACTGAAGTGCCTACTAAGACTACTTGCATGGCCGGTTGGGGGTCCTTTCGCCGGTGGCTTGGACTCTCGAATCGCGGCAACAGCCAGGACTCCCATGTTTGAAGCTCGCCTTGGGCCATCCCTGAGTGTTCGCGAGACAGAATGCTTGAGTATCCGAAAATAAGGGGGTACTTTATTATCGAAGGGTCAATATAATAAACTCATAATAAGGATCCTACTATTTGTGGTACTATTATTGTCGGAAGCCCCCCCACATGAGACGCTGCAGCTTACGCCTTACACGTGCTCCAGCATTTCCTTGGGCCTGCAAGCCTGCCCTCGGCCTCGCCCTGGCTAGAACCCGAATGCCCAAAAAGCTGGATACCTGAGAAGCGTAAACCAAAGAAAGTTTAGGGTCTAGGGTTTAGGGTTTAGGGTTTAGGGTTGGTGTTGTGAGATGCTGTGAGGCTGCAACCTGGCCTGCTTGGGGCACCGGTGCCAGCGACAGCTTCCAGGTGAGCTTCTACTGTAGCGTTTTCGGGTCTGGTACTTGATGAGCAGGCCAAGCTGAGCGAGCAATCGTTTTGCCGTGCCCTCTTTGACACAAAATTCCTAGCCGGCACTGAGAACTGCTAGCCAGGCTGTGAAATGACGTACACCTGTCTTCGGATGTACAGTATATCCAGGCTATCAATACAACTGCTGCTGCTGATAGTGCCACGATCACGACCAAGACTAAGACCATAAGCATCATCATTACCATCGGGTCTCATCAGCAGGATTATCGTGTCTTGTCCACTTCCTGCCATCATCATCGTCTATCAAAATTAACGGCTGGGAAACTAGGTCGCTTGTTCCTTTCGGCACTCCTTTCCCAGTCTTACTCCGCAGAATGAGGGGCCTAGCCATAACCCAGACCGCCACGTAGCCACAATCCACGGCAGACCTGACCCCAATGATGACGTGGGCACACTCTATAGTCTATAGTAGTATAGCGGCCTTCATAAAAACTCAAAAGGTGTCTGGGGTATAGTAATATGAATAAAAGAAGTAGATTAGTTAACCCTGCGGATCCACCTCGAAACACTCCCCGGACAGGCACTCAGGAATGTACTATCCAGTGTGGTAACCTCTAAACCACTGTGCCGTTTTTGCCGCAATCGCAGCGACTTGGTGGCTGCGAAAACAGTAGCAGACATGTGCGGGTGCCCTGCCTGCAGGAACGGAAAGGCGCTGCGGCTGCTTCGTGCGAGGGCAATGGTTGCGGGACTGTCGTTAAATTCGTATACATAGTTGGAGTGCGTTTGGGAGACGGTTGGGGAAGCCTGTCTTACCTTGCGATCCAACCTTATGTGTACGCCACTCCTTCAATCCATTAATACCGCTTTGAGCCGCGGCTTGAGGTAACTCAGGATGCGGCAGGGGCCTTTGCACAGGCCGTTTTTGAAATTCGTTCGGCATGACTTGGTGAGATGGTATGCAAGGAGATGAGTTGCTGCATAAGCTTCTCTGAACCCAAAGCACACCTGAGACCCCAAGGAAAAATCGTAGCCAGGAGCCCGAAACATGTAGGTTTTGTAGGGCCCGGCAGCTTATCGAAGGTCGGTGCAGGCTTCGCAGGCGCCGCAGCCGAAGAGGTGGCCGCTCTGCAGGCTCCGTTTTTTTGTTGTGCGTTTAGTGTGTCTACCTAGCGTGTCCATTGTAGTTCCTTTTTGGGAATACCTTATAGAATCCTTAATATACTTAATATAAATATATATATATATATATATTTATTTATATTTTTGGTTAAACCATAAAAAGGAACAACAATGGAGACTATAGGTAGAGTGTAGGATTAGGAAGTGATTAGGGTTTCGTTTTCCCTGGAGTGGAGCTGTGGTAGCAGGGGATTGAGTATAGACTGGTTCACGGTTTAACTTTTAGGATTAGAAAGGCCCTCAGAGAGCCAACTGATAGTGGTCGTTTAATTCCCATCCGTGCGAAGCCATCTATATCCTCGAAAGCTTCAGTTTGGCAGACGTGCCGTAAAGCCCAAAACCTTGATAGGGGTCTGAATAATGAATAATGCTGAGTTAGTTTTGATATCATCATAGTCCACAGATATTTATTGTCTGTATACGTATGTATATATATATATATACATATGTATATCTGTGTGCGTGTGTGTGCGTGTGTATTGACACTAAGATGTACTTTCATGTGATTCTCCCCTATCTTATCAAGCACTTTCAGGACCAACCAGGAGCTGCCGAAATCTTGGGCCGTGCAGCTCAGACACAACGGAGGTTCGCGATTTGGCCTCATGGTTCTACGGGCTTTGGTGTCATAGTCTATGGTTCTTTGTAACCATGTAAAGCGTACTAAGAGGCTTCTATAAAAGTATTCTTGTACAAAAAGTGCTGAGACATGTAATGCCTTCAGGACTGCTCTGCAGGATCACCTGGGTTGCTTGCAGTGATGGTGCAGTGTCTACAGTAGCTGCTCCCACATCAACAGACGAGCCGAATTGTAATTATCGTAACGTAGCAAAAGTCATGAGAATAATATGAGTGAATCCCATCATTCCCCCGATATCTGAATCACTACCTTGCCGAGACCCAACTGTCACAAGTCAACCAGTTCCAAGAGTCGTGGTGCCATGATCCTGAGGTCAACAAGTCGTGTTTCAGACGCAGATTGTGTTCAAGGAATGCTTGGTCGACAACATCCTAGAGATATTGTTAGGCGACTTCTGCCACTACGTAGGTGGTTTCAAAACCTTGCAAAACCAACGGTTTTCAACATGGATTACGCAAGTACTGGTGCACTTGAGGCATTCTTTCGGCTCAAAGCCTAAAAAAGTTGTACTGGACCCCCTAAACCCCTGAAGCCTAGAGCCTGAACCCCAATGCTGCAATCCCAGGCCCAAGCCGTGCCAGATTCCAAAGCTGCCTTCCTAAAAAGCCAACAAACCCTAAACCCCAAACCCTAAACCCTTGATCACTGTGAAAACACTCCTATTCAACCTCGCCTGTGAGCATCGTTCTCTGCCATGCGAGAGGGGAAAAACCCGATCATCCTAACTTCTCTCCTTACCTTCAGGCCGCAAGCCCTCAGAACCCTGCCGCATCTAAACCCGAATCGTCCTAACTCCTCCCCCTCCTTCCAACAAGTTCAAGAGAACCCTATAAACGTAATTCCTGTTTGTTGCAAGGCCATTTTTCTTCAGATCCGTATCCTAAACCCTAAGCGCAATTCCTTTTGTTGCACGGCGCCCTTTTTTCTTCAGATCCTGATGGCAGGTACCCTGAGGCGGAGCTACAGTTGCGCCGTGCCGCCAGCGAGGCGTCGGATGTCGCTGCTGAGGTGCGCAGTTGAGACAGGTTTAGGGTTTAGGTACAAACACGTCCAGGCGGAATTAGCGCAAGCCTGTGCAAAAGGTACAAACTGCCAAGGGAACTTGGCCGGGCGAGCTTCCATCAAGCCTGTGTAAAAGGGACAGTTTGTACAGCCCTACATCGGGGTTGAAGCCAGACAACGCTTCAGAGAAAATGGAAAGGTTGGCAGAACTAGACCCGACTTACATAGGTCTTCCTGTTCATGGCAGTACAATGTGTGGAGGGTCAATAATATGTCTCCTTTCCGTGGGCTGGGCTCTCGGCGGGTACAGGCTAGGGCTTTTCAATTTTCAGCTGGAATCCCCTATGAACCCTAAACCCTTATAAACCCTATACACCCTAAGATTTCAGGACGTGCGGCCTCTCGAGTTACGGTGCGAAGGTTTGGGCCCGGCTCGTGGCTTTCAGAGAGTGAAGCACACCTAAAGTCTCCATTGTAGTTCCTTGTTTTGGTTTAACCGAATAGATATTAAGGCTTCTATAAGGTATCCCCCAAAAGGAACTACAATGGAGACTATAGGCAAGCTTTGTCTCGAGGGTTCTTGCGACCCAGATGCGCAGGAACTCGCAGCGGCGAGTGCCTACTGCTCCACCGGGGCACGGCAGCAACACGGCGAGGCGGAACTGTCTCTCACAACCCCAAAGCCTCCATGTATCTTTATAGTAGATACTTAGGCCTTATAGGGGTCCCTATATAGGTACTTTAAGGCTTAAGTATCCACTATATGGGCACATGGAGCCTTCGGGTTTCACCCTAGGCGTCCCAGAGCGAAAAAACCAGAAATGGATTCTCCTTTCCAGCTTGACCGTGCGGGAAGGTTGACTTTTTTCCGGCCTGTGAAGGATTGACGGGAACTAAGGTTTATACATATTAACGTGTATATATAGATATATATAGAGAGAGTCTAAACTATACAAGTATATACGCATATTGTTTATTGGTGATTTCTGTTTCGTAGTTTGCTATATAAGTCGGCTAGGTAGTTGTTTGTCTATCTATGTATTATTTGCTTTGTGTTTATGTGTTTGTTGATATGCAGTTTTGTTTACGTATGAGCGTGAACATGAACATGAACACGAATATGTGAGTATGAAGCAGAAGTCGCCGAAGTGCATTTGTGACTCCATAAGCAAACAAGTGAGTGTCCCTTTATTGAGAGAGCGGGCGAGCGAGCGAGCGAGTGAACGAGCGACAGAGAGCGAGAGAGAGAGAGAGAGGCTCTAAACCCGCGACAGAAGGGGCATAACCCTGCAAGCTCCTCAACCCGCCCCCGATAAATCCGTGAGGCACGAGGCAGAACAACGCCAACATCCCCTCCCAAAACATCCTTACCTGAATAGTTGCACGAAATTCTCAAAAGCCCGACCACTCCTCACAACCATCAACGCTCCAAAACCTTAATCCTCCACCCAATACGGCCCAAAAGAAGATCCAGTTGAATGAGTCGTGGCTACCCAGCAGCACCAGCATGATCATGGTGACGACGATGAGGAAGACGACTGTCCTAAACCCTACACCCTAAACCCAGTAGTGTCACGATCACCAGAACCGGAGGTGGATGTTCTGCAGCTTCTGAAGATGCACGAGGCCTTGGAATGCAGGTGCCGGAGAGGGTTCTGCTTGCGGAGTTTTAGAGGAGTACTGAGGAGTTGTGAGAGCGTAGTTTAAGTTACCACAAGAAATCTTCAAGGACTGTGGTGCTAAGATATGTTCAGTTCCCTAAATAAAGCCCGGGAGTCAGTGAAGGTAGTCCTTCTTTGAAAGATCCCACGGCTTCTGCCATACTAGATCTGGACGTATGCCCGATGGCAGGAAGACAGCAAACACACACGCGGAGCCGTGGGTGATGGAGAGCCTGTAGTGAGATGTGATTTTAAAACGCTTTCCGCTTCCGTGTTAAGAGGTGCATCTATCTGATGGTCTGACCCAGACAAAAACCCAGGATGAACGCTGAAGAGGTGTCAGGGCCTCTCCAGAGAACCAGTGTTCCGAGGGCTGACTTGTCTAAGCCTTTTTAGCCACCCCAAAAACGCCCTGAACCTAAAGAACACCATTCAGCCTACACAGCAAAACCCTACCTCAAGCCTTCTACAAGACAGGCCGTTGTCCGACAGCTGCGGGCCGCTTCACTTCGTCTCTCCCTTGGTGGCCCGGCGATGGCTCGGGGCCGCGAGGGGTCGGGGCGTGGTGGCGCAGGAGGCGATGGAGGAAGGCAGGGCTGAGTCTTTTCATATCCGGCAGGTGCTCGCGCGTCTATGCATGGATGAGTGCTACATGCGAAGACTTGTACCCGGTGGTTTTGAGGGTTGAGTGACTTCTTGCAGGGACGCTCTTCATCTCTGCGCGCCCGCTTGCCCACGTTGCCTCTGACGGTGGTGTGGCGTGGTCGGAGAAGAGGCAAAATGGTGCCCATGTGCACCTTTGTTTCGGATTCTTTGTGGATTGAAGCAGGTCTCGCCAGCATCATGCCCAGCGAGGATGGAAAGAGCGGCAGTCTGTCATAAAGTCCTGCCTAGCAGCATACACTATACACTTTGCAATTTCCAAGGTTGATCTCGCATCAGAGCTGCGTTTTGTCACACTGTGCTAGCGCTGGGCAGTACTGTACTTTGCATTGAGCGGTCTCATCGTCGACCATGGCCATGGGGTAGGTGAAAGGGTCGGCAGCATGTACTATCCTGGTTGGTGGGGGGGGGGGCGTGGGGGGGCCGGAGGCAACCCCCTTATGCACTCGGAACCAATAGAGGCCCGAAAGCCTCACATTCACTCGGAGTCGGAATACGCAACAGGAAAAACCCCGGCGAGTCATCCGAACGGAGAAAACCAAGCCAAAGCCCGCTAGCATGGTCCGTGGAGGGCACGACGGCTGTTGGCAGAGAAACTCGAGGCCGGCGACTTTGTGAAAGAGGCTGCGCAGATGGTTTTGGTTTTCTATGAGAGGGTCATTCCACAAGAGCCCGAGGACACACATGATCTGCCTGTAGCACCTTGTAGAAGCATTTGGGTTCCCTTAGTTAGACATGTGGTTGTTCATGCTACCGAGTACACTAGTGCCTGTACGACGTGCAAAGGCTCTGCCATGTGATGAAACCTCTTCTTGTTTGGCTTTGTTCTTGCATGTGGACCTCCTGTTTGAGGCTTCTGGGGTCTGATAACTTAAGGGGCCTCAATAATTACCTGCATTATTTTCGGTGGTCCTTATTATAGTTACAGTATAATTTCCCCAAAACCCTAGTCTAATTACTCTGATTATTAAGGCACCTACATTAACTTAGAGTTTTGACAGTAGCTCCGCTTCTTTGGATTTCCTCCTTGTCGCAATGTAGGACCCTAACCGACGCAAGAACAACATATCTCGTCCGAGCTACAATTCAGGGTGCAGGTGCAAACATGGCTCGAATATAGTATACAGAACCTACATCACCAAAGAAGCCAAGTCACACATGCTATGAAGCGCTGAGCTCTACACCACTTGAGCCACCAGGCCGCCGCAAGGACCAGTGCCTTTCTTGCCGAGGATCTGTTTCTCGCATATAGGGACTTCTAAGAACAAGGGATTCTTCTGCGGAACCCTGAACCCTATAACCCTAAACCCTTCTGTGGGATCGCGCGGGGGGTTGTTTTGGGGTAAGAATGTGGTTGTTACAGTCGTTGGAAAGGCTTCGAAGTACCTTGTATATTTGTTGGCGGCCCGTCGTCAGGGCTGCTTTCTTTCAGACCTTGTATGGAGGAGCCTGCGTTGTTGTGCCTAATTATGTATCTTGGCTTCCTTATCTTCGAAAACTCCCAGGCAGTTGAATTTTGACTGCTACTGAGCCCGACACCTCAGCCCATACTAATTATATCCTATCATCTACCCTGTTAGAATGCCTCTAGCAGTCGCCGTCGTCCCCGGGGCAGGAAGCTCGCTATCATGTTTCAATACACTTTTGATCTGTAGGATATGCTGCACTCTGAACCCCATACGTGACAAAAGCAAAGCAAAGACGGTACCAACTACTACTATGAGAGCACAAACTTACCAATACGAGCCATCATAATAACATAATATAAGTACAAACTTCCCAGAGCCCTGTTCCAGGGGTTGCAGCCCCTGTTCTAATTAATCATAAGGGCTCCTAAAGGTGGGTCCTCCGGGATGAAGCACTGAGAGCCTTGAGGTTTTCGCTCTACGATGGCTCTGGGCTGTGGCTCATCTTCTCTTGGTCTGCTTTTTGGATTTATGGTTGGGGAGAGCCAAGGTCCGGTGGCTCTGTTTGGTGCCAACTGTTGATGCTTTCCAAATTTCATTTCGAGCGGTCCTCTGTACGCACCTATTCAGAACCAAAAAAACTTCTGAGGACCCTCTTGAAATCAGCTCACATGACAAAACAGGCAGATGCCACAACAGGCAGACAGATAGACACACAAGCAAGAACTGGCGTGACCACAGTCGAAGTGGCAGCGATCGCGATAGGCCTCGTCCTAGCACTTTACAAGCGGCAAGAGTGGTCGTACTATGTCGTACTTGCAACTGTTTCTGCGCTACGGCAAGAGTAATCAAGCACGGTGAACTATTACTGGGATGCAGGAAGGCCCAGTACAGTTCTCGATGAATATGGTTGAATGATGTTACCACAGTGTGAGCGAATGACATGTCGGAGCCAGGTAAAGACAGGAGGCTCTTGCTAATCTTCTCCTCCATTTTTCAAACCTTTGCTACGCACGTTTCTTGATGTTGTTATAGTATGCTTGTGCGCCGTGTTGGGAGTTCTCGCTTTCGGGGCCTGGGCTTCGGAATCCACGTCGTACGTGTCCTTTCCTTCGAAAGCTCCCCTGTGACTATGAATGCCGTGACTATGAAGAAGCCTTTGATGCACTGTTTCTTTGTTTCTTGGGCCTTGAATGTTCCCCCCAAAAAACAAATCCCAACTACTCACATATTTGCCAACTCTATAGCAGGTCCAATCCCTGAGCCTTTTTCCGTCAGCTCCATTTATCGTTTCAGTATCGTGCTTAGGCTTTCGTGAATTCTGATTTTCTGTAATCCATCTCGATCAGCAAGATCACTCTTAGTTCGGTTTCGTTTTATTTTGCTGTTCGTGTTGTTGTGACTGGCATGCTGCTCTGATGCCTACCCCGCTTCCAAGGTACGAAGCAGATTGGTCGCCCAGCCCTCTCAAGCCCGAAGACATGCACTTGCCAACGCTGGGCCACCCCGCTTCATTCGGCCGTAGAGCGACAGCAACTTTCAGAGATTCCAGCCCGTGTGACGCTTAACCTTCAACTCTAGGCCCGTATTTCGGTGTACTTAGCATTAGCCACCTGCTGTTCTGGCATTCTGTCGGGGTCCCTTGTTGCCTGAAGCCCAAATCTCCGGCATGCAGAGTCCGTACATCGCGGGTGCCAGCATCGGACTGGGGAATTGGTTGGATTGGAAACTTTGTCATCGTACTCTATCAACAGGGTTTTGCTGAATCTGGTGTTTGTAGCCTCAGCTTGTAGTCGCAACGATGTGAGGCTCAACTCGACTGAAGTCGTTTTAGCCGCATCCTAGGCCGGGGCTTTCTCCTCCTTTCTGCCGGCATCCTTTGCCTTTGTGCTCTTGGAGTCTCCCTTCCCCACTTGGCCTCAGTGTTCTCGCGCGCAGAGCATGCAACCCTGGCACTTGCAGATCCCGTCCATCCAGTCCAGTCGGACCGGGCAACTGAGGTTTTCGAACACGGGCACGTATCGACAGCATTGTTCGTTACAATGCACACTGTTTTCCGGACAACCCGGATCCCCGCAGTGGCGCTCCGCGACACTTGGTCAGCAAGATGGGTTTCCGGGATCAGAATGACTGGCTGTGGTTTTGGATTTGGTGCACGTCCGGATTGCGAGAGAGAGGCATATACCTGTAAAGCAGATATACCACGGGTGAGTTTTCAAATACATGTGCTGCAAACAGCTATTTAGGCCCCTACATGAATTCGAGCTTAGGGTTTTGTGGGCAACCCGGCCTGACAGAAGTACTTGCACCCACTGCGTCGAGTATGAGAAGGTAACCTTTTAAGATTGTCCATTATAATGTTATGACCATGCGCCAATTGAAAGGTCAAGCCTTTTGCCGACAAGGGCTCAGCGAGCAGGATATCAACCCCTGATTGCCGGAGATGACTGTTGAGTTCTTATCCCCGAAGCTCTCAGCACTTCTGCAGACAAGCAAGAACCCCCCCTTCTGAAAACGAACACTTTGGGTACCGCAACGACGACAAAAACGGACGTGCGCGCACCCACACTCTCTCACACACGCACCCACACGCACACGCTCTCTACCCCAATGTCATCTGAGTTCTGAAGTACCCATACTTTATCAGTTTGTTTCAAAACAAAGTGTTCCTTACGGGAACCGTTCTGAAACACAAGTTAAATGTGTGTTTTCGGTGCCGGTTACTTCAAAGCCCAGCTTCTGCAGTCCAGCGAGTTGGAAGGTACCGGCCTGGGGCTTTGGTTATGGCCGCCAATGGTCAATCATGCGCTGGTGCCGTCAGCCGCAGTTCAGGATTTTGCTCGCTCGGATCGGGATTAGTTTTTCAGCACTTTTCGGGTTGATAGGTTTTTTGGGGGTTTGGGAGTTTAGGGCTTCGGGCTGTTGCGTTTGGGGATAAGCGCTTGGTGTACTCTAGAAGCCTAAATACAAAATGATTACCAATGTTGTGTCTTGGGGTTCCTGATGATAACTGTAGTCTAAAGGAGCCCACAACCCTATTCTAATTAGTAAGGCCCCTACAGTATCAGGATTTGCTTTCCAGTTGAACTGTTTGGGGGCAGCCGTGTGCAGGTTAGGTCTCGTGGATACCCAAAGCGTCCTAAGTAGCCATATATAGTAGAACGTAGATTTTCTATAGTAGGAGCTACTATTACTATTCCTTATTTGGGCAAGTATCCCCCATATAGGTACTCCGGACCCTTTGGGATAGGATGTCCGGGAGAGGACGGCGTTTAGCCGAGGTTAGCCGTGGCCTTGGACACCTCCGCTGTAGGCACCTAATTTCAGAATTGGCTTGTAGGGCTTTGGATGCTAGAATGGTGAGGAGAATCACGTTCACACATTGTGGAACAACAGACCGTCTGAAAGCGAGATGAGAGGTGGGAGTTGAAAACCAAAGACAGAAAACTCTCGCCTAGACACCAAGGCAGCGGAGACTTGGTAGACCCTTCAAACCGAAAGCCCAAGCCCTTATAAGGATCACCGGAATAGACTGTGCAACCCAAGAGTCAGGTTTAGAGCTCTCCGTTTAGGGTTTATAAGGCTTATAGGCATTCAGGTCTAAGGTAGGGTTTACGGT